ACTGTGAAGGCCAAACTGAAATGAGACGGTCTGGCCAACGGAAGATTTTCACTTTGGGTCACCCTTACGTTTGCGTCACAATGCATTGCTCCTGTTACCTGGCAACCCTTGACAACACAAAGCTTTTTTTAACAAAAACTCGAGGTTTTAAGGTCCTTGGTTTTAACAGTTGTACCATTAGCTGTTCAACTGAGCTGAAAGCCATCTCTAACATTAAAAAGTTTAATCCCCGTTTGCTGCCATATTATTTTCATTACCTGCGTGCAATGAATCTTGGGATAAGTTGGTGCCACGAAGGATCCACCTGTTGGAGCCTTCGTTCCCCAGAGAAAGAAGGACACATTTCTCAGCCGCATTGGGTGGAGCCTTCGAAATGGGTCAGCCTAGTCGTGTCACTGTGATGCAATCAATGTCTGACACAATCTGTATTCTAGCGTCACCTGTGAAACAGAAGACACATTTCTCAGCCCCTGCATTGGGCCACGGCTGTTCACTCTTCAGGTCAAACAGTGCGGGCAACACTAACATGTTAGGAAACATTAGCTGTGTCTAAATTCAGGGACCGCAGCCTTTAAAGGTTCCATTTGGAGACTGACCGCATCAATGCGGCCAAGATATGTGTCCTTTGTTTTCCAGGCAACATAGGATCCCAATGGGTGGATCCTTCGCAGCTTAACCTATCCCAAGGTTCATTGCGTGCCATTGATGAATCACTTTTCAAAAAGAGAATTAGGTGGAGTAAAAATAAAACAGTGAGCAATGATAAGTAGGAAATTCTCCATAAACCATTTTGGTTCCACCTCTGAGGGTTTGCAGTCATCGGAGGCCATGTTTTCATGGACCGCGTACCCCAAAAGATGTGGCCCCTGAATTTGGAAACAGCTCATGCCTCCAAGGAAGTACAATTATATACAACATTCATTCCCAAAGATGTTTAAAATAAGTAAATAAAAGAAATTACATTTGGTGGCAAAGTTTCTTCGACTGAATAAAGGAGGCAGTTGGTGGATGGTGGGTGGTTTACATCCTGCGTCCTAGTTTAGGCAACAAAAGCATTTGCTTAAAGTGATGGAAAGGTTGTGATTTTGGTTAAAAGTTAATAAAGTAAGTACAAGTCGAATCACTATCGCGTGATACAGAACAGAACACAAGATCTAGATCGCCAAAACTAGGAGGTCGAACAGTAACTCATTATTAGAAAGTGAGCGAGTGACAGGGAGAAGCGCGACAGAGAACAGAAGGATGAAACGAGATAGAAAGGAGTGGTAGGAAAAGGTTAATTTGACAGAGTAGTAGTTAATATGGTGCTGCCGGGCAACGGTCAGCATGTAAGCTGCTTTGGTTACTGGGACAGACCAGAGGACGTGGATTAATGATGGCAAGTCTGGCCTTTTCACAGTAGCTGGACATGTGGATTGTTAATATGTGCGTGTGTTTGTGCGAAAGAGAGACAGAGAGAGAGAAACGCTCCCTTTAATTTTTAATCCAAAACAAAGTACAGCCTGTGTGTCTCTGAGTTTCTCCGCAGAAGTCAATTTCAATCTCAACACTAACTCAAGTTTATACGTCCTATCCAAACTTTTTTTCCGGCCGTGCAGTTCAGTTCACAGTCTCTCTGTTTTTATCTAAACATCTCCCCTGAGATAAAACTCAGCTTGATTTGTATTTATTTAGTCCATGGAGACAAACAGTAAGTAAAGCAGGGAGAGGAAAGAAAAAACAAACAAACAAACAAACAAAAAAAGAAAGAAAAGAAAGAAAAAAGTTGAATTGTTTGGGGGCATAACTCACTCTCCCTAAGTGTAAAATGGGATGAGATATTCTGCCTCTCGGACTTAACGTAATGTAAGAGAGTGTGAAATTAAACTGCACACGAATAAAAGGGACCCTTCATTGTGTGCCGCCGACTAGCTTATCTGGAAATTCAGACAACTGGAACATCCAAAGCCTCCAAACTTGTAGCAATCTCCTTTGTCTGGCTCCGAAGCAAACAATGTAATATCAGAAAGCCAGAGAGGCTCCAAAGCCTGTGTCAGATTGCCAAACACAAAGTAGCTGCTTCCTGCGTTGCCTCGTCGCATCCTCGCATCACGCCTCTCTGTGTGTGTGTGTGTGTGTGTCTGTCTTTATACGGTATATGTAGACTGTGCACTCACTCCCGCTAACCCTGTGTGTGTTTGTGTGTGTGTGTGTGTGTGTGTGTGTGTGTGCCAGTGAGTGCTTCAAATAGAATCTTCCCTCTTTAATTCCTGGCCTTTTACCTATTTATATTCCCTGCACCTACCTATCCCCGTGACTCTTTTAAACCCCCTATGTTAATTTGATTTAGAGCATCTCAAATTGAATAAGAGATAAAGAAGGGAAAAAAAAAAGAAAAGAAAAAAAAGACGGTAACTGCAAATGTACTGTTATTAATAACCTAAAGTACTAGACGGGGCTCAAACACTCTCCCTTCATTCTGCCCTCCCACTTCCTTCCTCCCTCCCTCTCCATTTCGCCCCCTCTCTCTCTCTGTCTGCCTGTGAGTGAGTGAACTAAGTGAAGTGGGTTATGATGGCAGTGTAATCGGCATCCCTCAAACAAACGGCTGGTGCTATTAAGGGCCATTGTGTTTGCTGCAGTGATGATCAGATTCAATCTAGGGAGAACATTTTGTGCCGGAGCTGTGGCAAGGTGGGGAGATAGAGAAAAATACCTCGGCTCATTCCGCTCTGCTATTGTGTTCAGGGGACTAGATGTATGCACGCTCTTCATAAGATGCATATCGACTCGGGGAGCTGCAAAAGTTTAGTTCAAATGAATTTGTGGGGAGCTGTCTGACTGCAGAGAGCGAGGCGAGTTATTAAATGTCGGGTAATGTTTTGAGGATGTATTTGTATCAATAAGGAGCCGGAGCAGTGCTGCTGGGGTGGTGCAGATGAGAAAATCACTTTTCCTCTCCTCTTTGTCCTCAAATTTACCCTCCTCTCCCAGCCTCTGTTCCTCAGTCTAATCCGTCATCTTGTTAACACACTTTTATAAGGACGAGTGGAAGCCTGAGGGGCCCGAGAGGTTGACTTACGGCCTGAAGGTGTGTAGGTTCAATTTAGGGTTACAGTTCGTCAGCCTGCCGCTGCCTTTTCATATGGAATTTGCATCTGCCTCTTGGTGTAAGTGTGAACGGTTATCTGTCTGTATCTCATGTGCTAGACTATTAAGTGAGCGTGGAATAAACACAGCATTGATATTTATTTATTTATTTATTTATGGGCTCTGACCTGTTCACTCGCCACGAGGAAAACGTTAAGCTCTCCACAGCAGGGACTGGCGAGTGTATAATACCTTCCCCCCAATGGGATCGCAGACTCGGAGCCTACAGGTGGATGCTCGGATCGATGTGGGGCTTTTCAAAATGCTTTATGAGCAACAGCAGCACAGACAGCAGTGACAGTGTAGCTTTCAGGTGAGCAGTGTGCCAGCAGGCCAAAAAACACAGCAGGTGATTTATAGGATTTTACCAGTCAGGAAACAAGAATTTCATCCTTTGCATGACAAAAGTAATTTACCAGGGAATGTGCACTTATATGTTCTGGAGCTGGTTTCACAAAGATATTTCAGACTGGTCTGTAGTGTTACACCAGACTGTTTCACAAAAATAAAGACTGACTCGTTTTAAGCCAAAATAATTAAGACACCTTACCCCCAGCCTAACTCAGGTCTAAGACCAAATGTTACCATGGTAACAATCAATGACACCTACGCTGACCAGTTGCACCCAACAGCGAAATCATGAAAACGTGGCTCATAATTTGTCCGTTCGTTTGCAAACGTTGCCATGGAGAGACCGCTGTTATTTTATTCTTTTCAAATCAGATTTGTGTTTTTGTTGTTGCACTCCTCTTTGAAGTAGTAGTAGTGAAACATCCTTGTAACTGTTGAATTCTCCCAAAAGACAAACATTTTCTGCTGGGGTAAATGGAGCTCAGCGGTTTGGATGCGGTTCCTCGGTCGGCCTTTATTTTTATTTTTTTATAAGTCTTAATTTACCCAGAATTCATTGTACCACAGTCGGGCTTAAGAGTCAAGTCAAGAACTAAACTGCTTCGTGCAGTGGAGGACCAGAGACGTCTGAAGTCTGACAATTTGTTCTATCTAAGCCACAGTAGTTTTCTTAGAAGAATTTAATTAGACAGTGACGGTGTCAGTGATGAGTTTTACTGTCACAGGATAGTTGACCCAAAACACCGCTACCAGCCCTTTGAAACTCAAAGCTACCCTGTGGTGTTTTTGACCACTGGTAACACTATGGAGCCATATTTTCATGAGTGAGTTTGTGTTTGTTTCTTGAGGACTATGCCACTGATTGGAAAGTGGTGGTAAGAAAACAAGCAACGTGCCAACTAAAGCACAGGGAGGAGAAGACTGCAAGTGAGCAATCATGGCTGTAAATGATGCATGGCTTAAGTTTTTGAAAACTTTACAACTTTGTTTGCAAATGCATCCAACACATTTGGTCCTGGCTTTAAGGATACTCACACACAACAAATGGTGCAAACAAGAAATCCCCACAGTGTACATTTAAAACGATCACACTAGAGACAGCTGATGCGTAGCTGTTCCACCAATATGGCCTTTCTTACGAGGCATATAACATCTAACTGTTACTGTTACTGATCCTATGAAAAATAAATTGTCAGTATTGGTTAGCAGGTTACCAGTGCCATGAAGTCCAAGCAGCTGTTGCCGCTGGTATTGTGTGAAGTTGTCTGTTTGGATCAGTACTTCTCGAATGTTAATCTATATTAGCCACCCAAACGATTTACCCAGAGGCCCCGGTGTTCATCTGCCTATGCTGTAACATAGAGACTGTCTATGCTAAGAGAGAACCCTCTGATTGGAAAACTCACTTCTACCTCCTCCGAGTTGAATCGCAAACAAGTCAGGTTATAGTGACATGACCATGAGATCTACATGGTTTGGACTAAAATTGTTATTTTCTTTCTCTTTTTCTCTCTCTCCAGGCGTGAGACCGTTCAAGTGCAGTTACTGCCCCTACAGTGCCTCCCAGAAGGGCAACCTGAAGACTCACGTGCTGTGCGTGCACCGCATGCCCTTCGACAACACCCAGTACCCCGACCGTCGCTTCAAACGCTCCCGCCCGGAGTCCGACTTCCTGGACAAAAGCCCCGACGACGCCTTTGGTGGCGTTACATCTAATCAACCAATGACGGAAGCGGAAGGAAGCCACGGGAGTAACGCTGTGCCGTTTGCCAGCGAGGCCGCGTCTTGTCACCAGGAGTGAAAATCAGCGAGGGGCAGGGTCGGTTGACGGCAACCAAGGAGGGTTGTTGGACTGTGCATTATCTGAAATGCCATAGATTTGCGTCACGGGACAAATGCTCCCTGATGCACATGAATGTTGGTCACTGTAAAACTAATCTGCAACACGACCGTGCTGAAAACTTTGACCAAACATGAGACGGACTGAGATATGAACCGCACTCCCTACATTGTAAACACAAAGTAAAAATACTATATGTGGGTTTTAGACGTTTGTGAACATTTACTAAGAAATCATTATAATCTATGTATTTGTGATTAGATGATTCAGCATTTTTTTTTTATTTTTTTTTTAACCACAGTGGATCATGTGCAGGAGTAGAAGGAAAAGAGAGTTAATGAAATCAGAGTTTTCAGACAAATCATGGAGGAAGGAGGCTATGAGGCAGGAGGGAAGCCGGATGAAGTAATCTAAAATCATTAGAGAGATTTTTCTCCAAAAATAATGCTTTTATCAGAAAAATGATCCATGTAAACGATTTAGCAGAACAGTTACTGTATGAAAGATGGAGGAGGAGGAGGAGGAGGCGTCTTGAATGCACACCACTGCCACCCTAGAACATAACACCAGTGGCTGCCATTTTTTTTCCCCAGTGCGAGTGATGAGCACTGTATGTGTGTCTGTGTGTGTGTGTGTACGCGTTGCAGGGTCAGTGGCGGCGATGGTGCCGTGTATGTATGTGTGTGTGTGTGTGTGTGTGTGTGTGTGTGTGTGTGTGTGTGTGTGTGTGTGTGGGGGGGGGGGGATTGGTGCCAGCCTGACTGGGGCTGTCATCGCAGAGGAAATCAATTCAACAACAACACACACACACACACAAACACACACTCAGGCTCCTACAGTGGTAATCCAACTCTGGACGCTATGCCGGGGGGTCAAGTTGAGTCCCACCAGCTGGCCGGAGCCCCTCCAGTCACCTCTCTCTCTCTCTCTCTCCGCCTTTCTTCCCTTCACTCTCACTCGCTTTTACTAAAATAAGCCCTCCTGGAACGGCCTAGAAAATAACACAAATCAATCAGTGGCGTATTCTCAAGCATCCATTAGCCAACGTTGAGGCTCGCTCTGGTTTTGTCAATGCGACGTCTGGACGTCACGTCACAGGCTCCACACGAGAGCAGGACGGGAAGTTTCAACTGATTGCGTTTTAGCTCGGGCCGCTTTGATGATGACAGATGAGGGTTTTGGAGCTGGACCGTGTTATGTGTGTGTGTGTGTGTGTGTGTGTGTGGGGGGGGGGGGGGTTCTACATGTAGCTGTGGTCTGAACATATAGAGTAAGGTGTGTGGCATTCACCTAAAAGTTGGAGACCTTTAAGTCAGAAAAGAAGCAGGATTAATCTCCTGCTCTGATAGGGGTCGGACATGATGAAAAATTTGATAATCATTTTCTTTACCCTGCTTTTTGTCTCTGATTATACTACCTATTCTATATTAAAAAAAAGTATTTCTAAAACTGTTTGTTTATTTTCAAAGGAGGCATTCTTTTTCTGTGCATAGTAGTGTTTTATTTTTTATTCATATGGGTTTTACTCCTGAGGGGAAAAAGTAACATAAAACATTGAAAACAATGTTTTGATCTTGTAAAACCGAGCTCGATTGCTTTAAGGGCAGAAAAGTATCAACTCTGATTGTACTTTGTTGTGTCGGCAGCTGTTGGTTATGACTGGGCAAGGAGAATAAGAAAGTATGGGGCTTTGTGTTGGTGTTGGTGGTAAGGGGGGGGGGGGGGGGGGGGGTTGTTAATGTTTTTCTGATAACGAGAAATGATCCGGACTTTAAGAAAGTCAATATCTTCCAGCGCAAACACGCATGCAGCGGTGGGAAGGGCTAAACTCTTAAAACCCCAGGGCCTTAGTGCCACGGCTCTTCCTAAAGGAGTTTAGAGTCCAACACAATGCACACACACACACACACACACACACACACACACACACGATCAACAACAACATAAGAAATACAATCCTGCTGCATGCACAGAGGGGAGAGCAGATAGAAAGAAGGAGAGCGGAAGTGTAGACGAAAGAAAACGAAGAGTATGTGCACAAGGCTGACAGGAAGTTCAACGTTCTGCTGCACTGCTGTAATTATGGCTTGAATTACTACAATTTGAACTTTTTTGCCCGACAGAAAACGACAATATTTGAAGAAAAATGAAATTTTCTTCAGTTATTTTTAATTTTGTTTTTAGCCAACAGGACATTAGTTCTCACTGCCTTATCGTACCTGAGTGTGTTCCCACTGAAATTCACCCTATGAGATCCAGATAACTTAATGTAGTATAAGCTATAGAGTCCAATGCACTACTGTTATTCTCGATGGCTGTAGCTTGCGTTTCTGGATGTATGTATACATGTGTGTGTGTGTGTGCTCAACATTTACGTATATTAACAAAAAAAAGTCAATAGCGGGGACAAAAAAAAAAAAAAAAAAAAACTTTTCAAAAGAGTACACAATCCATTTTGTTTGGCACCAGTGTTTGGCACCTGGCTTTTCCAGCTCACTAAAGCATGTGAATCACTATGTTTTCATCATCTTGTTCAGATGAGGCAATTTTTTTTTATTGTCATTCCTCTGTGACTTGTACTCTTTGTCCATCCCTGAGAATGATATGCCCCCCCCCCCCACCCCACCCCCCTCCTGCTGTAATCCCAAAATAATCCATTCCATTGTCCCCATGCTGTTTGATCCCCGTGAAGCTTCCTATTGAAGTAGCACATTCAGTTTTCTCAATTATAATCACTGGTGCTAGAAAAAAACGATGAAGAAAAAGTAACCATGCACATGTATTTCAGCCTGCGATGGATTCTGTAGTACGCAATCCTAGTCCAAATACTGTCCACATTCCTAAATGAAGAGGATTTCTATAGCCTACGGAAGGAAAAGTAAGGAGAGGGGTTTTGTTGCAAACTACAAGCTTATATTAACAGTAGATAGCTTTGTATTTAAAAAGACAAAAAATATCCTTGGTGATTATTTATTACTGCATATCTGTTTGACAGAAGACAAAATCTTTCATTAAAGAGGTGCATCAAGCATTTGACTGTTTACTCTTTCTGCGTTCTAGACGTTCTGATGTACTTTGATGCCATTAAGATTTATCCGGTGTTTTTTCTGCAATAAAACCTCTACCTCTGGGAAACACTGTCTCTGAGTCTGGATCCTTTCTGCACCCTTCAGGTCGAACACGCCACTGAAGAAGATGAGCAACTCTGACTGTGACTTATTATACATCCATCCATGCACAGTTGTTGCTCAATGCTTTTAACTTCAAAAGTCACAAAGCATTGGACAACAAGTGAGTCCCAGTCGAGTGTTTGTGTTTGTGTGTGTGATTGTGTTGTGAACATTTGCAGTACATGTGTTGTCAATTAGATGGAGATGTTTTCTGAACCAAGTACTTACATGTACTTACATAATTTGTACCTTAAAATGTATCTAGAAAAAGGATAATTAAGCATTCAGAATGATTTTTGCTTCTAAATTGTGGGTCTTTGTCTCTCAGTCACTACACTAACATCAAAAATGACGGGAGCAGTAAAAATAAACATCTCAAAATGTTCCAACAGAGAAGCAAATAAAAGCTAAGCAAGACTAAAAACAAAACTCCTTCTGGCTATACTGAGGCACAATTGTACTTTGAGTTCAACGCTAGCACTAACATGTTGACAGTGACGATGCTAACATGCTGATGTTTATCAGGGGACTGCTTTCCATGCTCACCATCTAACTTTAGCATGTAAGTGTTGACATCAGGTAAGTAGCACAAAACACAAAATACAACTGAGGGGATGGGAATGGGATGATGGGATGATGCAATGATAGTTGCATCCTTAGTTTTGCAGATATTTGATTGGACTAAATTAAAAGTCAGGATCAACAAAGTTATTGTAATTCATTATAATCCCTCCAGAGGGGATGAGGGAACCAAATCTCATGACATTCATGCAAAGTGTGCTGAAGGATGCAGCTACCTGATGATGGTAGTAGAGGAAACGTCAGGGAATCACTAAAGTCATGTTTCATCCTCTGGGAACCATGAACGCAACATGAATATTTTTGGCAGTCCCATCCAAGCATTAGTTTCAGTCTGCACGTGTTGGAATGAATCGCCAAGCCCCTGCTGCTGTGGCTCAAACAGCTCTCTAAAAGAACATTTGTAATTGATTTTAAATATTTAAACTTTTAATAACGTGTGTGTCAAAATCCAGGGTTAGTCTAATAGTCAAGATTTTACTTTTTGGATCCCCACAGATGCACAGATCTGGCTCTTGAGAGGGATGATTTACTCTAACTTATGAACACTACAAGAAACATTGACTCACATAAGATCTTGTGCTTTATTCTTTTGGTAGCTGCTTTTTCCCACATACATAATGTACATCAAAAACATTTTCAGGCTTGGTTTCATGGTTAGAGACACTTCCAGATCTGTATATGAGGAACCAGGTATCAAATCATCAACCCCACTGTTAAAGGAAGATTATGGTGTTTTTCAACCTGGGTCAGATTCTTGCAGTGGGTCTTTGTAGGTGTAGAGATTTGGGACTTAACATCAAGCTTGTCTCTGAGGCTGACTGACACTAAACACGGAGATTACACCCTGTGATTAGCTATTGTGGCTAACTGCATTAGCATCTATTTCGTGCAAGCCAGCAAACCACACCAGCAGTTAAACAGCTGACCTGCGCTGCTGACTGAGCTTACACAAGATAAAAACGTTCTTTGAGACACTGCTATAATTTGTAATCAAAAAGAGTATCCAAAAGATTTAAAATGTGAAAATTTCAAATTGCTGCGCAGTGCACCCGTATATAACAAGTTCAATTTGCAATGGATACCTTAGATATCCATTACAAACAAAGTAGTGAAAGCTCATTTCAAATGTCTTCCATGTGTAAGGTCTGAGGAGCAATGTAAATGCAAAGTGAGGAAAACTGGGGGGAAAAAAAACTGTAATGAAAGGAC